AACTCGGCAGACACCGCGAATACCAACGCTCCCTTGGAGTTCGCTCGGCGGAAGTCGCCGGATCCTCGCCAAGACGACCTCTGGCGCGTATCTGAAGTTCACTATACGATGTGCTATCTGAGGTTGCTTCTATCTCGGCTGCGTATTTCGTATTGTGATTAGAGTATACTGAAGTGCCTAATGTCTTCCCAATCACGTACAGCACACAATGCCAGTGCAAGCTGGGTCCTTTATATCGCGTCGACGGAATCTCTGCCCGATTACCTTGTAGATGATACGAAAGACAAGTTACCAAATGCAATATTGGCATCCTCCGTAGACTTGTATGTCGGCAGAACCTCACAACCGTCAAGTCCGTTCCCACTGCCAGCGTCCTTGGGGATACGAGGAACGGTTACGCAGTCCGCGCTGAGCTCCATACTATTACACAGACAAACTATTACTTCATATGCCCCCCAGAGTTTCCCACGTATCCGGGGATTTCAGACTCTTTTGGGAAGCTGTGTAGAACCGGCATATCGTTTATTTCTCGCTTTATCGCTTGGCATCGAGGGGAGGGTGGGGGAAGCCCTATTAGTGGACGCGGAAGTTGGAATGCTACATGTAATCACATCGTCCTGGACGGACAGTCGGGTTTGGTGAAAGCACGTATATGTAAGTAATGTAAAGGCTAAATAACTTGGTGCTCTGGCGGATCTCGTTGCTGAAGAGCAAAACCGCTGTTTGCCGCCTGTCCAGTTTATCCGGATTACAACATACATGTAAGCAATATCACGTTAGTATCCAAGGCAGAGTCAGGGAGACAGAGTTTCCGGATGCTTGACAATATTGTCAGCTGATAGTAAGGAGCACGTACAGTCAAACACCAGGGAGATATCAGAAGGCCCCGCCATATTACTGAGATCCTACTCGCCTTCAGACAAATCGAGGAATAACTGCTGACAGCAATGCGTATACGGTCTGATACGATTGTAAGTGGGCACATACGGCTGGCAGAGCGTTATGCTTCACCTTGGCACTCCGCCCTCTTGACAAACGGAATTTCTCCCTAATGAGGAAGTTCAATCAGCAATGGGTGTGAGAGAGCTCTATCTTCCGTGGGTTCTTTTGTTCTTTTTGGATACGACATCACAGGAGGAAACAGACTAGACCATCACTACTCCTCCTCCACGGGATGAAAGTTGAGAGGCTATGTAAGTGGAATCGGCCATGCAAAGTTCCCTGCTGGGCCATTGCAACAGACTGATAGTCATGGTAGGATCGTGACGGGGAAAAAGGAACCTTTGCTGGATGCTCTAAGCGACAGAAGATGTCCCCTGAGCCGTGGGCATGATGCCCATTCAACCAGCAACTCGCCGTCATCATCACTCGGTTTCGAGTATATATAGGGGCAGCTCATCGCCGGTCTTGAAGATTAGCTTCTCTCCATTGTCTCCAAGCATCTCATTCAGTCGTATTTGCCCTGTCCTCAAAATGAAGTTCATCTCCGGCCTCATTGCCCTCGCCGCCCTGGCCTCGGCCGCCCCCGGCAAGGCTCCCACGCCGCTTGATATCAAGCTCGAGAGCGCGGGCAATGCTGAGATCAAGGCTGTCATTACCAACACTGGCAAGAACAACCTCAAGATCTTCAAGACCGGCACCATCCTGGACAGCAGCCCTGTTGAGAAGGTCAAGATTAGCTCTGGAGGTACGTTTTTCTTGATGTCATGCCTCCTTGATCTATATGTCTCCTTGATCTATATGTCTCCCGGATCTATCATGTCTCCATGATCTATTCAACATACATGTACCGTCATTGCCAACACCTAGCTCAGAGCACACCGTCCCCTTCGACGGCATCCGCCAGCGCATCTCCACCGCAAACCTGGACGAGGACGCCTTCCAGAGCATCCCCGCCGGCGAGTCCATCGAGGTAACATTCGACATCGCCGAGGCCCACGACCTGTCCATCGGCGGCAAGTACGACGTCCAGTCGACGGGCGCCTTTTCCTTTGCCCAGGAGAACTCGACCGAGCTCGTCGGCTCCGTGCCCTTTGAGACCAACACCATCTCCGTCTCCGTCGACGGCGAGGCCGCGTCGGCGCGCCGCATCGCCTTGCACGAGAAGCGCACGCGCGTGCAGAGCGACTGCTCCGGCAGCAAGCTGTCCGTGACGCAGACGGCCCTGCGCAACTGCCAATCCCTCGCCTCGGCCGCGCAGCAGGCGGCGTCGTCGGGCTCGGCCTCGAAGCTGAGCGAGTACTTCAAGTCGTCGTCGAGCAGCGTCCGCAGCACCGTCTCGGGCGTCTTCGGCCGGGTCGCGTCCAAGTGCAGCTCCACCAGCGGCGGCGTCGCGGACTACTACTGCTCCGACGTGCTCAGCTCGTGCTCCTCGGGCGTGCTGGCCTACACCTACCCCAGCGCCAGCCTCATGGTCTACTGCAACCTGTACTTCTCCGCGCTGCCGGCGCTGACCCGGTCGTGCCACGCCCAGGACCAGGCGACGACCAACATCCACGAGATTACGCACCTGACGCAGGTCAAGGGCACGCAGGACTACGGCGGCTACGGGTACAACTTTGTGCAGAGCCTGAGTGCGGCGCAGAACTTGAACCATGCTGATACGTATGCCTTGTATGCCAACGCCATCTATGCTGGCTGCTGAGCGTTGAGATGGAGAGCTTTTTTGGATAGGGTTGCTTTTTGCCTTGGATATGGCTGTTGGGTTCAATGTTACCAATGAGCTGAATAAGCCGATGGAAGACTGCTTTGTGACATTGGGAACCACGACAAGATAAGAAGATAGCCCTGTTCTGAGCTGTAAACAAAAGAACTTGTCTTACTACTGGATGATATTGTCATTTGTGGTTCATCTCGTGGACCGGATGTGAGTTCAGCTCCTCCGCGTGTAAGTGAAGCCGCCCACGGCGTGTACCTGGCCCAAAAAGGCAACTTGTGCAGACAAGCCTCGATTCGGACATACATGCAGTCTGCATGAACGACGACTGAACATCGAGCAGAATAACTCACATGATTGCTCCCATTCTCTCCGCTGTCTTTTCTCCATCTCTGCAAACGCGTCCTTTGCCCCTTTTCTCAGCTTTGCCTCCATCGCCAGCGAACCTTTTGCCTCGCGTACAGAGAAACCAGGGAGAGAAACCGGTGGCCTGACTCCAACGGGCATCAATGCATCCCGACCCGCCTTCAGCCCAAGAGCCCTCCAATTCCCGTCCAACAGCAATCCAGAAAAGAACAAACCCGCAGAGGGCACAGCAAATCCAAGGGGGCAAAAAAAAAACCCACCACTGCCACCGTACATAAATGCAGTGGGACGACAAAAGCAGCAGCGGATGTCAGATTGATTGAACTTGCCGGCCCAATGAGGGGACGACGGAACACTGGCGCTGCACAATCGCGGTCAAAGTGCTGCCGCCTTCCCGCCCTTCCGGAGCTCGCGAAGATGCATGCAGGGAAGAAAGGGCTTCGTCGTGTTCGTTGTCGACGGGGCGGCCTGTTGCTGTTGAAATGCAGGGGAGATGTGAGCGATGATGGGAAACTAACAGTCTATTGGGTTTGGGCTACGGAGAGTTTCTCTGGGGGGCTGGTTCTAGGCGTACTTGAGTCTTCAGGTCAGTCGATTTGTTTGGTCGAATGCAAACTCCGTGTTCAATCTCGCTCGTATTACTATCCAGTTGTCTGTCTAGAGTAAGGTACGGAGGAGGAGTGTGGCAGCATCCTTTGTGATGATTTGCCTGCTGGTGGAGTTGATGTTGCCCAGCTGAGAGGCCTCGCTGTGAGCCATCATATTCCCGGCCTTGGACTTTATCTTTGTTCACCTCATTCATACATAATTCATTCACTAGTCTACTTCATTCATTCATTCAGGGATTCGTTCACATTCATCTATTTTCATATCAACTCATTTTGACTCATCTTTTGTCTCTGTAGCCCCATCTTCACAACGCAAAACGCATTCTTTCACCTCTCTTCAAAGCATTCTTCAACCAAACCGCTCACCGTCCACCCAAGGGTCCATGCTTCTTTGTCCATGCAGGGGGAGCCCTCGCTGAACAACATCTCCATCCATCCCCATAATGCAGCTAAAAAGCCTTGATTTTCGTTGCCTTCTTGCTCCTCTTTTCAGGTATCCTTGTTTGACAGCGAACGCAGTGGGGATGCAGTTTATTCTCCCACAGGTCGGTCGGCAGATGTGCCTTGTCCTTGTCCTTGCTGGTAGTACTACATACGAATCGCATTATTATGGATGTCTTTCCCGTCCGGCCAGCGAAAAGAAAAGAGTCACCAGGGGTCTCTCCCCTCACCTGAACAGAAAAAATGACCAAAATGGCGGGCTCGCGCTTGTGTCTATGCAGAGCCACATGAGGGCTCCTGCTAACCTGCGGACGCGTCCCCCGTGGCCTCTTGTCTCTGAGCTTCTTACTTCCCGACTCTGTGACTCCTTTGTGTCCGTAAAGTATTGTACAGTGAGATTCGTACATGATTGCATCCCAAAGGTGGATATGGGGTCTGTGAAAAGGCCATCAACACCATCTCACCCCATCACCAGCCACACTCCCACCATCATCACGAGAGGCACATCAGCCCCCGGCTCTCTCAACTCACTCCCCTTCTGCCGCCCAGCAAAAAAAGGCCCCCTCCCTTGCCTTGTTCCGTGACCTCACCTGTGGCTTATCATCACGGGGGGCCTCAGGCTGGCCACTAGCATCTCTCCGCTGTCTTAGCATCATCCAGGCGAGGACAAGCAGTGCAAAGACAAGCAACCCCTGTCACCAAATCCTGGAACCGCCTGGAAAGGCCCTTCAAGCGGGGCTCAGCACACCCAAACGTCATCGCCGCCCACTTCCATCTGTTCGCAAGCTGGGACGAGAGAAAAGGGCGAGTTATTTCATATAGCCGGGCGTGTGAGTGTCGGGTCCCCCCTCCTCCCCTTTGGCCCTCTTTTTTTCGTTCCTTGTGTCGCCGTCTCTGTTCGTTTTTGTTCTTTCATCTCTTCAGCCCGTTTCAGAGGCAGCAGAGCGAGCTTCGGAACAAGTTTGTTTCAAAAACAGCCGGTATCCTGTTTCTTCTTTGCTTTTTTAACTCATTTAGTACCGCTTGGACACACCAACAAAGAGAGAGAGAGCGATATAATACCAGACAACGACCTGCTTCCTCGCTCAGCCCTTTTTCTACCCTGGTCTTGTCGACAAGTAAAAAACCGGACACACACACAAACACAGCCATGGCTAGCCGTGGAGATCGCTGGGAGCGGGATCGCCTCGGTGGCGACCGCGACAGGGTCCAGGAGCGAGGCCGCTTCGTCGAGGAGGACCGGGAACGGGACCGCGTCTTCATGAGCGGCGGCCGGAGCCACCGCGACCACTCGGACGAGCGATTCGACCGCAAGTACGGCCGCACATCCTACGAGGACGACATCGTCCGCGACCGCCGCTTCTACGAGGACGACCGCTTCGACCGCCTCGACCGCCGGTCCGAGATCCGCGGCGACTCCTTCGACCGCCGCGTCGTCATGGAAAAGGAGCGCGACCGCGAGTACATGCGGGATTCGTCGCCGCGCCGCCCGACGCTGCTGCGCCGCCAGTCGTCCCTCGACACGTACGACCGCCGCCCGCTGCCGCGCTTCCTCGACCAGCGCGAGGAGTTCCCGGTGCCGGTCCGCCGTGAGGACATCCGCCGCGACGACATCCTGCGCGACGACTACCACGCCCCCAAGTACACGCCCATCCCGCTGCCCAAGACGCGGGGCCTGCCGCCGCCGGCCCGGCGCTACGACGAGCGCTTCTACGAGGACATCCACGTCGAGCACGACCACATGGACGAGCCCCTGCCGCGGTATCCCGCCGAGCGCATCGTCGAGCGCGAGATCATCCGCGAGAAGGAGAAGGAGAAGGACAAGGTCGTCAAGGAGAAGCGCAGCCGCAGCCGCGACTCCCGCTCGACCAAGAGGAGCCACCACCGCCGCGGCCGGTCCCGCGTGTCCAAGTCGTCGAGCCGGTCGTCGAGCATCAGCAGCAGCAGCTCCAGCAGCTCCAGCAGCAGCGGCGGCACCACCGTCAAGAGCGCCAAGAGCAGCAAGAGCGAGTATCCGAAGAAGGGCAAGACGCGGATTCCCCTGCGACTGGTGTCGAAGCGGGCCTTGATCGATATCGGGTATCCCTTTGTGGAAGAGGTGTGTGTCTTTTTGCCTGACATGAGAATGGGAAAGTAGAAGAAGAAACTGACCATCCGAATGATGTAGGGCAATGTCATTGTCGTTCAGAAGGCGCTCGGCCAAGCCAACATCGACTACCTGTTGAAGCTCAGCGAGGAGTACAAGAGCAGTAAGTCGACTCTCCTCCTCTTCTTCTTCTTCCCCGTTACCCCCTCGCAAAATACTGATGAGACAACGCAACAGGCGAGCTGGAAATCTCTGCTGCCCGTTCCTCAGCCGGCGACCTGTTCCGCGAGCGCCGCGAAGAGGACATCATTCGTGACCGGCGAGGAGAAGAGGACATCATCCGCGAGCGCCGAGAGGAGGTCATCATCCACCACGAGGCGCCCGCTCCGCCTCCGCCGCCGCAGCCGCAGACCATCGTCGTCTCGGCCCCCGCTCCGCCTCCGCCCGTCATCATCGAGGCCGCGCCGCGCGACGCCGTCGAGCTCGTCGACAAGACCGTGTACCGCGACCGGTCGCGGTCCTCGAGCGACCGCAGCCGCAGCCGCAGCCGCCACCGCTCGCACTCGCGCCATCACACGCATCGCCACTACCGCCGCAGCCACTACCGCCACAGCCACTCGCGGCACAGCCATTCGCGGCACAGCAGCCACGGCAGCGGCGTCGCCCTCGGCGGCAGCAGCAGCGACTACCAGCTCGTCGAGCGCCACCGGTCGCGATCCCGCAGCGGCAAGGAGATCCGCGCCGAGATCCGCGCCCTGGAGAAGGAGCTGGCGGTGCGCCCGCGCGTCACCGGCGAGCGCGAGGTCATCCGCACCGAGAGGCTGCCCAACGGCGAGCTGGTCGTCTACGAGGAGCAGGTCGAGCGGGTCGCGTCCCACAAGCCGGCGCGGATCGAGAAGGACAAGAAAGGTAGGATGTCCATCAGCGTGCCGAAATACCGATAAGGTGCGCCGCTTTTTCCTATGTCTTGATTCTCTCGAGAGCTGGCAAAGCTGACTCGGAAACCCCCCTCCCTAGGTCCTGGCCCTGGACGTATGCGCGCGATGCTGGCCACGCTTACATGAAGAAACTATGAAGCCGTCGAAGGGGGGTGGGGGTGTTCTGTTCTGGGGAAAGACGACGAAGTCACGACTTAATGAATTACATGGGATTGCAAGTATGTTCGTTATCTTGCTTGGACTTTGGATGAGATGTTTGCTTGGACATGACGTGTAGATTGCTTCATTGTTTGACGACAAAGGGAACGTCTTGGTTACAGCTGGCGGATGCTGTCTTGTTCTACTCTCCTTATTTTACTTGTGTATTGCGTCTCACGGATCTGGAGGGACATGTGCCACGAAGGCTATAAATACCGGATATATAATGATAGTGATGAAATGACTCAATAATACTGCCCTTTTTTTGTTTTACGCTACTTGGCATATCTATCCTCCACGTTTATTTGATGTGTTGGGTTGCTTTCTTGCCATCTGTCGTGATGGTGACTTTTTCGCCAGTCTTGCTATGGGACTACTCCAACAACATGTAAGATCCATGTCTGAATAGAGGAACGCGTAGGAATCGGGTACAGTAGACGGACCCCGCGGGGGATAACAACACAAGTCTATCTCTCTCTCTCCCCCTCTCTCTCCCTCTCTCTCCCTCTATCTATCTATCTATCAGTAGCCAACAAGCTTGTTGAACATCGGCGTAGCTTCATTCTGGTCGAGTCTTGAAATAACAACAGTTGAAGAGACTTGACAACACTAAGCTTCACGATGCTGCTCAAAGGCGTTGTTGCCTCGAGCCTCTTGCTCGCCGGCAGCGCAACAGCACAACTCCGCCTCCCCCCCTTCTTCCCAACCAAACAATACAATGCATTCGACATCGCTCCCGAGTTCCAACCCCAAAGCCTCGCAACCGGAGCCTCACAGCAACAACCATTGACAAACCCAGACATCGACAACATCCTCACAACAACATCATCATCCTCCTCCTCCCCAGCATCAGACACCCCCTTCACACCCGGCCAATACACCCTCCACCCCCAAAACGACTCGACATGCGCCACGTACGGCGAATCCCACTGGACCGGCACCGTCGACGTCTCCCCCTCCCACCGCCTCTTCTTCTGGTTCTTCAACAGCCGCGGCGACCCCCTCCGCGACCCCGTCATCCTCTGGATCAACGGCGGGCCCGGCGGCAGCTCCATGATGGGCCTCTTCAACGAGCTCGGCGCCTGCTGGCTCGACCCCGGCGACGACGTCAACGCCACCGTCCCCAACCCCTACGCCTGGAACAACAACGCCTCGGTCCTCTTCCTCGACCAGCCCGCCGGCGTCGGCTTCTCGTCCCGCGCGCCCGGCTCGCCCCCGCAGAGCCACGACGTCGACGGCGCGGCCGACTTCCAGGCCTTTCTCAACATCTTCTTTGGCACAGTCTTTCCCGACAGGGCCCATCTCCCGCTTCACATCGCCGCGGAGTCCTACGGCGGGCACTACGCGCCGGTCTACCTTACTCATATCCTCGACTCGCAGAGGTTCAACTCCCCCGACGCCTTCAGGGGCAACATCTCCTCGCTGATCCTGGTCGACGCACTCGTCGACTTTGCCGCTCCCGCGGTGGGCACGTACGAGTTCCTGTGCAAGGGGTACGGCCACCACGGCAAGATCATGAACGACTCGACGTGCGACGCCCTGCGGCGAGCCGTCCCCAAGGTCTTTGAGCTGGGGCGGAACTGCGATGCCAGCGGCGACGGGTACGAGTGCTGGGGCATGATGACCTTTCTCGAGGAGGTGGTTCATCCGTACTACTACGCCGAGGTCGAAGCTGGCAAAAGGAACCCTTTCAACGGTAAGTTTCGGGCTATCAACCATCTGACCCCCCATTTCTCTTCATATAAGCGGCAAAGCCAGCACACGAAGACTGACTTCATATCTCCAGTCCACATCCCGTGTCCCAACTGGCCCTGGTGCGCCGACATCCGCAAGGGCAACATCACAGCCTACCTCAACCAGCCCGCCATCAAGTCCGCCCTCCGCTTCCCCCCCTCCTTCACCTTCGCGGACGTCGACATGCCGCTCAACGCGGCCTACGACCTCGCCAAGGACCCCTTCCGCCCCACGACGCGCCTCGTCGCCGCCGTGCTCGACGCCGGCATCCGCGTCCTCGTCCTCCAGGGCAACGAGGACTACGTCGTCAACACGCCCGGCAACGTCTGGGCGTACGACAACCTGCGCTGGAGCGGGCTGGCCGACTACCGGCTGGCCGAGTGGGCGGCGCTGCCGGAGGAGGGCATGGCGGGGGCGACGGGGAGGTGGAAGGGGGCGCGGGGGCTGGCGTTTGTGACGGTGGACGGGGCGGGGCATACGGTGCCGGGGGATGTGCGTGAGGGGAGCTGGCGGATCGTTCAGGAGTGGCTTGAGGGGGGCTGGAGCGGGTGAAGGGTTGTGTTTGTATGCGTATAGTATACGGGATGTTCAGCGTGTGAGCCGAGGCACGGTGTATAAGCAAGAGGTCTGGGGAAGGACAGATGAAGCTGAGCAGCCACCGTAGAAGCCCCAATGAGATGGTATTGTGAGATGAACAACTAGTAACGGCCTCCACATCAAGGTTGATAACATCAGGTTCGCCAACCCCAGATCAAGTCCAACTAGAACGTGGGGAAAGGATCCAACAGGTCCCAACCCCAACCCCCCCCCTAGCTTCTTTAGCACCCGGCCCGTCCAAGCCACATCTTCCGTTTCTATTACCACATTGGTCTCTCAGCTTTTCATGACACTTTTTTCCATTTTGCCCCTCACGCACAAGCCGAGGCAAGATCAGAACTCTCATCTCAACTTCCATCCGCGCGTGTTAAGCACTAAGCCCTTAAAGGAGCACAACCACCAAAGGGGAGCTGTCGATGTACAAGAAGAGAAAACTCTTCTGCCCATCCATCGTATCACCCTTATATCTTCATCTTCCCCCATGCTAACACCCCGTCAGAGACAAATCTCGTTGAAAGACAAAATCCCCAAACACCATAAAATCTCAGCATCCTCAACCTCACCATGACCCTCATCAACTCCGCGGCCTCCCTCTGGAGCACCATCGTATCAACCCACAGCCCCCTCACAATCGACCTCGTCGGCACCCTCCTCGTCCAGCTCATCTTCTGGTGGATTCCCTGCACAGTCTTCCTCTCCCTCGACACCCTCCTCCCCGCCTTCTCAGCAAGGCACAAGCTCCAACCACCCCCCAAACAGCCCTCCGCCGCCGAAATCCTCCACTCCATCGCCATCTGCCTCCGCAACCAGCTCCTCGTCCTCGTCCTCCATGCCACTCTCCTCTATGCATCATCATCATCATCATCCTCACACTCGCAGCAAAGGATCCGCATCGACCCCCGTCTCCCCTCCTTCTCGGAACTCACAGCCCACATCCTCCTCAGCGTCCTCCTCCGCGAACTCCTCTTCTACACCTCCCACCGCGTCCTCCACCACCCGCCCTTGTACCGCCGCTTCCACAAGACGCACCACCGCTTCACCGCCCCCGTCGCCTTCGCCTCGCAGTACGCCCACCCCGTCGAGCACCTGGGCGCAAACGTCCTGCCCATATTGCTCCCGCCCGCGCTCCTGCGCGCGCACATACTCACCATGTGGGCGTTTCTGGCGCTCCAGCTCGTCGAGACGGCCACGGTGCATAGCGGGTACGACTTCTTTGGCGGGCTCGCGAGGAAGCATGATCGCCACCATGAGCGGTTCGATGTGTATTTTGGCGGCATCGGGCTCCTGGATTGGGCTTTGGGGACGGATGAGCGAGAGGGTTTGGAGAGAGGGAAGACGCAATGAGAGTTGGGTAAAACTTACTACAGCCCGATCGGAGAACCCTTGAGTTGACTGCTGTTGTCCCCTATAATCTCCCACTTCTCTCCCTCTCTCTCTAGCTCATGCTTAAGTGATCGTGATGTAAAAGTTCACGCGAGCATACTCTGTTGTGCGGGCAGAAACTTGCTGAACAGCTCCCAGTGCTTCATCGTAAGTGTGTAGCATTATTCAAGACTTCTCCCCCGTAGATGTCGGTCGCCAGCAACCGTAGCACAGAAAACAAGCACTCTCCCTTATCTCGACTCCATTGCTCCATCTTTTGATATCCAAAACCTATCACATGCTATGCGTGATCCTATAATACAAAAGCACTCCCCTCGTCTAACATGGGCTAAGACTCCATCGGTAACTAAACGAGACACACACGCAGCCGTTTGCGCTTCAGACAACCAACTTCGCCTTCCGAATCGGCTCCCTACGCCGTCTTGTACGTCTCCTTGATCTTCTTATACAAGACAGTATCGCAAAAGTTGTAATTGATATCCACTTCGCAAAACGGATGCTGCGATAGGAGCACATCGGCTGTCGGTCGATCAACCGGATTCCTGCATCACCTTGTAAGCACTGCTGTCTCTCCTGCAAATTAATCTCTCCAAAACTTACACTTGGAAGCAGTCCATCATAAACGCCACGGCGAGATGGCCTATAGATTCCTGGACATCCTCGGGGATCGGGGGCGCCTCTCCGTTTGCAATCTTGTAGATGGCTCCGACGGCCTCCTCCTTGCTCCACGGCCGCCGGCCCGCAAGCATCTCCAGCACGACGCACCCCAGGCTCCAAATGTCTACCTTGGCGCTGTACCCTTCGTTCTGCGACCGGATCACCTCGGGCGCCATCCAGAAGACGGATCCCTGCATGTTGTTTGACTTGTCGTTGCCGTAGATGTTGTCCGTCTTCTTGGAGATGCCAAAGTCGCTGATCTTGCACGTGCCATCCAGGTCAAGGAGAATGTTGTCTGCCTTTAGGTCTCGGTGCAAGATGCCCTCGCGGTGGAGGTACGCCAGCCCAGACAGCGTCTGACGAGTGAGGGACGAAACGACAGACTCTTCAAACTTGCCGTGCTTGCGCAGGCACGAGCCGATACTGCCACCAGGAATATACTCTAGGAAGATGCTGATGCTGGTTTCCTTCCGCTCGCATCCCAAGTACTGCACAATGTTGACGTGGTCCAAGTGCTGCATCGTGTCGATTTCGCGATCCAGAGCCGCCACGAGCTCCTTCATCTTGCTCTTGTCTCCTCCCGCCGCCTTGGGGTTGACCTCCACCTCCTTGACGGCCAAGAACTCACCGGTCGTGGCATTCATACCCAGATACACGCGGCCGTAGGTGCCCTTGCCGATGAGCTGGCCCTTGAACCACCTAAATGTCGTCTGCCGCTTAGGCAAAGTGTCCTGCGGAATCTGCGGGAAGATCATGCTGCCGCGCTGGTCCGGTCGAATCTGCACAATGTTTGCGTTGAACATCTTGGTGCTCTTCCGGCGCATGATCCCGCTCGTAGCGGCATTGCCCGCATTGTTCGGGGCTTGCGCGTGCGTGAGTCGCTTGTTGGCCTCGTGGGCACCCCGGGCAACTTCACGGATGGACTTCATACGCCCAAGCCCGCCAGAACGCCTCATGCTCTTCTGCGCCACGGTTTGTATGGACGGGCGGCGGTCCAGGGCCTTCAACGTCGACTCGTCAGAGCCAAGCGTGTCCCCGTCGTAGACAGACTGGCTTGAGGACGCAACCGCAGGAGCGGGGACAGGTGCAGCAGGAGCAGGAGTCGAGTTTATGCTGTCTTGGTACATGGCTGGAGCCGGACCAGCAGGAGGCACAGTCTGCTGTGGCGACTCTTCGACTTCGGGGATCGGGGACGTTGTTATCTCGGCCGAGACGCTGTCCTCAAGAACAGGCTCGTCGAGGTCGTAGTTGGGGAAGAAATCGTCGAGGTTGTTGAGCAAATCGTCGGTCGGGGGTCGATTCGCCCACACGTCCTTCTCGATAAACGACTTGCGGCGGCCGAGTTTGACTTCCTTGTCAGACTCCCAAGACTCCGAGCCGGGGGTTCCAGGGGTCCGCCGAGAACTGCTGCCGGCCCTCGACCAGTCGTCTGCGTTTTCGCTTGTCGACTTGGGGGAGGTAAAGGATACTGATAAGGTCTTGCCCTTTGGTCGCGAGGTATTCACGGTCAAGCTGGGCTTCTGCGCATGTCCGGGTTTGCTGTTTGGCGATTTGCCCTTCTCTCTACCGGCGAGCGGGATGGCAAACAACCCATCGTCAGAATCGTCGTCGCTATCGTCAGCCGGCGGCGGACGACCCTGCGCAGATGAGGAGGACTGCTGTGTTAGAGGCGGCTGGGTAAACTGCACATCCGTGTCCGTAAAGTCCAGGTCCGGGCCAGGTGATTTCGGGTTGTTGTTGTTGTTGTTGTTGTTGTTGTTGTTGCTGCTGCTGCTGTTGTTGTTGTTGCTGCTGCTGTTGTTGGCGGGCGGCGACGGCGGATTTGCCGTGGGCGGCGACGGCTTGGTCGAACTGGGGCTGAGCTCTGCCGGCGACGGCGGCCGTTGCCCTATCATGTTTGATTTAGTACTTGCTTCATCATTGCTTAATATTGCGGCCACCAAAGGGGGCAAGGGGGCGAGTGTATAGTCTGGTACAACAAAAGCCATGTTCCCGGGGCTCCAGGTGAGGGTCTTGGGAGAGCCCGAGCCCGAACTGGGCCTGCCAGAGCCGAATTCACGAAAATCAACAGTAGACATTGCTTTCTTACCTGGCGACAGCTGCTGCGAGCCGTTGCTGGCTGAAACTGGTTGTGACACGGTCCTGTTGGGAGACACTCCTCGCGGCCCGTTGGCCGTCGACTGGCCGATGGCTGACAGGTTTCTGCCCATGCCAACCAATGCCGCACCTACAAAGCCGCCCATGCCCGCGGCGGGTATGAAGGAAGACTTTGCCTTCTTGCCATTCTCCACGGTCTCAGCCTCAGGGGGCCCGGCGGCGGAAGGAAGCGGATGTCGCGGCGTGGCGTGCCCCTCGGCAGCGGCAGCATTGCCGTTCATCTGCCGTCCTGTTTTCCTGCTTAGTGAATTGGCCTTGATCAGTGTTGCGGACGGGTCACTTGGCGGCGCCGGCGGTCGTCGCTGAGGGAAGAGGTGCTCGGGCTTTCTGTCTTCGTATGGTGAGAGCCGAGGCTGGTCGAAGTCGACATTCCTGCCCACGATGCCGAAGCCCATGACGGATTCAGGCGGCTCCTTCAAGTTAGCCTGCTTCTTCTTGGCGAGGTATTCACGCTGCTTCCTGGCCATTTCGGCCTTGTACTCGAGCGCCTCCTGAGCCAGCGCATTCTCGTCCACCTTGTCCGTTGCAAGCGAGTTCAGCGTGTTTGACCGAGACGTGGGCGGGGACGAGCTAGATCTCTGGCGTCCGTTGAGACGCGCGTACGCCTCTGCGTCTATGCCCGGCGGAATGGCGTCTGGCGACAACAAGCTGGGCACTTCGCTGCTCAGGCTCGGGGTTAGCGCGCTATGAGAGGTGACGAAGAATTTGAGCGTGCCCGCAGAATCGGCCTTTACGCGCTTGCTGGTCAGGAGCTTTTGGTCATCCAGGGGTTCAGCATGTTCAAACTGGCCCAGCTCGGTTGAGTATATGAAGGAGCCCTCAATATCTGGAAGGCCAAGGTTGTGGCAGATGGCTTGCCGAATGTCCGCCGCGGTCTCTGCATCGGTGATGTCGCACATCCGGTAGTTCCAGTGGTCCATGGTAGCCAGGACGTATGTTCTGGCCTGGCCGACACCGTATTTTGGTTCGTAATGTGAAGTGATGCTGGATGGGTCCGGGTGAGCGTAACCGGCATCCGATCCATGGGTAGTTATTGACAAAGACTTTTGAAAGGCTGGTGAAGTGGGAGAGTCGAGATCGTCAGGCGAAGGAAAGGCGCCGTCCACGTGTTGCCGCCTCCTCCTGGACAAGAAACTAAGGAGACCCTTGGAGTCCTTGGCAGATGACGGAGACTCGGCATGCTTGGAATAGCTGTCATCCCTTCTCGACGACGACATGAGCTCTGCCAGGCTCATGCCTCGTGTCATGAGCCCGGCGGCCTCTGGGGGAATGCCCGAGCCGTAGATGGCGGCGTTGGACGCGGCCGAATCGGTGCTGTTCCTCGATCGATGTGTAAACTTGGATGAGTTGGGCGAGGATGATAAGATCGGAGTGGTAGCCGAGTGGAAAAGGGTGGGCTGGGCTGCTGGGCTGCCGGCCGGGCTCGAGCAATGGGCTGCCTGCTCGCCAGTGGGACTCTGCCGTCCAAGCTCAAGGTTCTTCAGCACATTCCTGTGATTTGTGCTGTCGGTACCATTTGCAGGCGGCATTGTTGTCGATCTGGTTTGGGAGAACCTCCGGGTATGAGAGTTGCCCGGCACGATGGGAGACTCGAGATTGTCTGCGGCATCCGAGCTCGCAGGGGCAAGGCTCGTGGGCTGGCTGGAAGCCGTAGATTCCTTTCGGCTGTGCGAGGGCATCGCCTTGGAAGCCTCGACAGGCCGGCCGGTAACGACACTCCTGATGAGCCTCCGCATGCGCTTCCCCTCCTCCCTCTCTCTCGGCTGGTCCCATCCCGTCCCGCTATTCGCACACTCCTGCGCCAGGCGAGGGTACACCCGCTGGTGCATCATGCCAAAGTTCCCACGGCCGCCGTGCGCGCTGCCCAGCTCCAAGAACTGCGCTCCGTACAGATTCAGCGATCTAAACGTCTCTTGCCAGTCCTTGGAGAACTGGTTCTGCGCCAGCCACAGCAGGACCTTGTCCAACGGCCACTGCGCTGCTATCTCCGGAGGGATGGTGCTCGGCGCACTGGCGGTAGTAGGCGCACTCGGTGCTGCTGACGGGCCCTTTGCGTGGTTCCCCCCCATGTACGCCTGTTGCCTTTCTTCCATTGGCGTCGTGGCGCTCGTCTCTGGCCCGTTCTGCGACGGGGAGGCGAGCCACGACGTTTGCGTTTCCTCTCGACCAAAGCCCGGTATGCCCACACCTTCACCGTACGTCTCCCCCGTCGGGATATACGTGGCACCCATTGCATCGCTCGGGCGCGGGGGAGGCGGCACAACCATTGCCTGTCCCGCTTGCAACGCGTGGTGCTGGTGGAACTTGGTCGGGTTATACGGCTGGTGCTGGTTGGTAGGGGGCGGCGGAGGCACGGGGTAGCTGGGACGGCCATCGTACAGGCGCCCAAAGTTGCCGTGCCAGTTTGGCGCTGGCATCATGCCGCTCCCAGGGGGAGGGCCGCTCGGGGGCGGTGGCAGCATGACGCCCTGGGACGGCGGACCAGGCACGGCAGGATATCGAAGCGGCGGGGGAGGCGGAGGGACCATCATGTTCATCTGAGGCCCGGCCATGGGAGGTGCCATGGCGGGAGGCGGCGGCGGAGGGGGCACCTGGAAGGGCCTCGAGGGGTCGTTGGCCGAGCCATGTCGCTGGCTGCCCTGATACATGCTGTGAGAAGACGGAGGAGCAGGAGGAAGCCCGCTCCAGAGTCTCGATTATGGGCTGTCAGGGAGCAGCTCAGTCTCGCTCGAGGAGAGCGATCGCGGCCGTCGCGGGCCGCCGTCGATGGTTCGGCGAGCGACACAAGGGAGCGGGTGCTCGTCACGCTGGCCACGGTCGAGGAAATTGCGCCGCAAAAGGGAAGCTTGTCGTTCGGGCGTCGACGCTCAAAGACTTGGGCCGATGTCGTTCGTTCTGGCGGTTGGTTCTTATCGGACTGGACGCTGGGCAGGCGCTAGAGCATGGGAGCAGCTGGTCTCGCGCCCAGCAGGCCGGCGTCCTCGTGAAGGGTGGACGAAGCTCAGACGCAGAGCAGCGCTTCGGATCCCAGTTGCTGGTTTTTCTGGAGCAGCACGAACGGACGTCGCACAGCCAAGGTCGAAGCTCATGCTCAAAAGATGAACATGTGGGCCGTGGATCAAATGCTGGCAAACATCGCCGGAATGGAATCTGCTGTGGCCCAGCACCTGCGGCGTTAGTGGCTGTACGTGGACGGATCAGTGGGCCGCGACCTCCTGGCTCGCTATAAACGGAGGCTTCCAGCGGGCTGTTTAGCGCACCCTCGCACTCGCAGCGGCGCAGGCAGGCACTAAGAGGGCCCCTCCTGGACCCCTGCAGCCCCTGCAGCCCCCCGTAGCGTCGCCCGCCGGCCGACCAATGAGCTGCGCCGCTTCGGGGCTACTTGTGGGCTGCCGGACAAAGATACGAAGCACAGCATCAATTTGATTGCATCTGCACGTGCGACGGAGGAAACACGCGACATCTACTATCACGATGCTGGGGTCCTTGGTGATGGAAGAGGCGTCAGGACAAAGGGCTTGAGGCTTGTCAAGCTGCCACCAACCTCAGCTTCAAGCTCAGCGGTTGTTAAGCTCACGTATCACTTTGTGCTCGTACACACAGCATGCATCTTCTGGTTGTGTTACCATCCAACATGAAGGCTGAAATTTGAAACACGGCCTTCTTTCATTGTCACCTCCACCGTCAGCCTTTCCCAGCGGCCATCGCCGAGCCAATGAAAATAGAAGCCTCTTTTGGTCCAGACAAGCTTCCATCTCATATGTTGTGCGTCGCACTTCGTATCAGACATTTTGCAAAGTACTACCTTTAAGATACAGAGTACAGGGGCTGGACATCATTGCGAGGCAGCCCGCCTTCATCACCAAAGCGGGCACACGCATATGACCGGGAGGTACTTCGTACAGGCACGCACCGACAGTCACGGACAAAGTACCTCCTACGGGAAGTGAAGCCACATTGCCGATTTGGAGACGCTTCTTTAAGGGTAATATGACGACATGGAGATAACCTGCTATACTTTGATAGTAGTGTGTTTTATTTTCCGCGCCTACAGTATGTACCTTAGCTATGCAAAGAACATGGTTGTTTGATGTGCGCTTCGCTTTTGTTGTCTCAGTTTATCATACTCTGCTTACAGAATAGGTACTTACATGAAGGCCTTGATTCCAGAGAGATATCAGGGCTCCCGTTGTAGGCACATGTAATTGTATGTATACTAATTGAATGGTACCAGGTGGACCGGTTCGACGACCGAGAGACAGGGGTCCTCCTTTGACAGCGCGTCGCACCGATGGCAAATTTCCCCAGCATCAGCGCTGTTTCTCGTCTTATTGATGTGTTTTAACCTTGGGGAAAAGTCTGGTGTCATCCACTCGGGTGCACGCATACACCTGTACTTGATAAGCAGCTCTTCGTTGCTTCCCAGCTCAACGCCCTCCCAGTCCCTCGACGCCTCATTGCGAGCTTCCTCCACCCCAAGCCACATCCCTCATGTAATCGTGCCTCTTTTCGTAGAGCTACATCTTTCTGGTCTACTGCAAGTTGTACCCCATTCCGTTGCAGACTTGTTGGCGGTGTCGTGCATACAAGTTATCCCGTGACCCATTCCTCCCTAGGGCTGACAGGCCCATCTCGGAGCCTGTTCCCTCCGGCAAGTGGCCGGCCGCATGTAGTATGGAGTAGGTAAGGTAGCCATAGGTAGGTTAGAGTGCATATGCTCCAGCGAATGGCGGCGTTTCCAACGACTCTATACGGAGAGGTATTCGGTTGAAAGAGTACCGGCCAACAGTCTTGCAGGACGTCCATCGTCTCTCCCTGAAGACGAACGTGTACATGTAGGTACAACGACTTACCGGCAAGACTCTTCTCATGGCATTCATGCCAATCCTTCTTGGATGTTGAGCTCTTAGAATCAGCATCCAAGTATCATTCGGGACGAAAGACGAGTATATGGTAAAGGAACACAAAAAAGTGAACGGCTGGCAATTGGCTTCTTCCCTAGAAACGAACGCTCAAGCAGACCAGGCATGCAATACATTGAATGTCTCAATTTATAGGGCAATTCTGCCCGTGTCCCCCAGTACGTGTCTATATCCATGCCAGTATCGAACGCATATTCTGAGATGATTGCTCGGAAGCCGTCTAATACTAAGTCGACACCACATGTATACATACTTCATACGAGTAAATGTAGGATGACGCCAAGCCGAGGTGCCTGCAAGTAGCAAATGAAACAAACTGCCTGCCCGACAACATATAGAAGAACTTCCATCGGGCTTCTAGGGGAATCTATAATAAAGTCCCTTAGATATCAGGGAGGAATGGCGATTCTACAAGGTAGCACAAGTGCCGACTGTACACTCAAAGAAGGGAAAACACCTCACTTACACGACCACAGTCAACAACACGAGGCTTCCCTCATATACCTACATGTGGAGATCACGGACATCCGGTAAATGATGCATAAATCTTAGCAACCAATCGCCTTAATTCCTCAAAAGAGCATCAACCCATCCTATTCAACTACCGCGCGCTTGCCCCTCGCGCATTCGGCACTCGGTCTTCTTTGCGGACGCCGAATATGGAGTCCCCTCCCCGCCCATCTTGCGGAGTTACATATCCACCACAGTATCTTGCCCCAGAGAAGCAAAGCTTTCCAGCTGTAGGGCCCGTCGTCGATTAATCAGATGAAGTAATTAGGCGAAGAAAGAAAGAAGACATCCTTGACATCATCGCATGATCCCAGATCCGTGACTAGAGAAATGGATTAAATACCTGTACGTATAGCCTTCAATCATTGTCCCCAGAAGCCAATACGCCGCCCCCAATTCCATCTACGCCTCTCAAAAGTCCATCATCACTTCCCCCCTCAACCTCGGCCTTACATACCGAGATGTCGCGCTCCCTGCTCATCACCGGCGCCACAGGCAGACAAGGCGGCGCCGCCATCCGATCCCTCCTCTCCCGAAACGCAGACTTCAGACTCCTCGCCGTCACACGAGACAAAACCTCCAACGCAGCCCAGAAGCTCGCCAGCTTATCCCCCAAGGTCACCCTCCTCCAGGGCGATCTCAACAAGACAGACGCCCTGTTCGACCACGCGAGAGACGTCACCGGCTCGTCTCCATGGGGAGTCTTTAGCGTTCAGGTAAAGTAACCACATCAACCATGAAAAGAAATGCCACACGCCCAAAGTTCATACAAGTACTCACACACACATCCCCCATAAAAAAGGCCCTCAGACCCGGCGCAAAAGGCCCAGCCATCGAACAAGCCCAAGGCACGTCCCTCATCGACTCCGCCCTCAAAGCCGGCGTGCGGCACTTCGTCTACTCCTCCGTCGACCGCCACGGCGAAAAGTCCTTTTCCAACCCAACCGACATCCCGCACTTCATCAGCAAGCACAACATCGAGCACCACCTCGTCAACTCCACAAGATCAAACAACACCGCAATGTCCTGGACCATCCTCAGACCAGTGGCCTTCATGGAGAACCTCGACGGCGGCTTCTTCGGCAAGCTGTTCGCCACAGCCATCAAGGCGAAGCTCTCCCAGCAGAAGAAGCCTCTCCAGCTCGTGGCCACGGAGGACATTGGCGAGGTCGCGGCGGAAGCGTTCCTTCGTTCGGAGGAGTACAATGGGAAAGCCATTTCGATCGCTGGGGACGAGGTCACTTTTCAGCAGTTGTCGGACATTTTCCGCGAAAAGACTGGATCTCCTGTGCCCGTTACTTGGGATTTCATGGCGAGTCTGGTCTTGGCCGCGTCCAAGGAGATGAGCACCATGTTTTCCTTCTTTGAAAATGAGGGTTACGGTGCAGATATCGCGGCGCTGAGGAGGCAGTATCCGCAGCTGAAAGATTTGAGGACATGGCTGGAGACTAGTCCGTACATGAAGAAGTGAATTGGGTGTATGGTGGATCCATACCTTGGTCTACAGAGCCGGCAACTTCATTCATAAAAACTGCAGGGTTCAGGAGTCGCCTGAGATAGATATACAAGAAGCATGAAGTAAACGCTCTGTCACTGGTGAGGCATCATTTACATGATGGCCCGTCTGGATTACTCCCAATGACACAAGTCGCTCAATAGAAGAGCCAATGACCAACCAGAATGTGACCTGGAGATGAAAGCGTACAAGATTCTACATGTATCAAACCCTCAAAAACACACAACTAAACAAAGCAAAAAGGTAGTCTCCGCGCTTCAAATACACAATCCCACTTCCCCCTATCAACACTCCCCAGACACCCGCAACCACCCCCATCAAAGCACCTCCACCCACGACTCTCCTCTAGCCTCTCAAGGGGAGAATAGACACCGCCATGATGCTTATTAAGTTTATATATCTATCTAGTTAGGCGATATCTACGTTCAGGAACCGTCGTAGTCAAATCATCACTGCCATCGATCACTTATAGCATGCAATACAACACAGTATATAATACATGTCCCAAGGCCATGGACCCGGAACCAACAACATACATTTAGTCGAGGTGGTCAAAGCTCAGGGATGGTCACTTAACTACACAAATACTACTACCTCATAGGTAGCCGTAGTAACATTGACCGATCACTGTATGAAGCCTTATAATTCTTAGTATTTGCTTGTATGAACAGCACAAGAGTACGGGCGTACTCCTTTATCACCAGTAACGCAAGAAGGCTAATGACTTCCATCAGCAGCATATAAAGTACGTGGCCCGGTAAAGCTTACAACAACAATGAGGTTCAACTGGACAGGTGAACCTCATCCAGTATAGGTATATTCAGCCATCAATACACACATGATTCATACAAGTACTTGCCCAGGGCGCCCCCAAACATGCCCCAGGTCGAGAAGCAAACCCCCTCTATCTATACCCAAAACGAGAGTGGGAAAAGAGAAAGAAAAAGAAAAAAA